GCGGGGCTGTGGCGGGGGGAGGAGGGAGGGTGATTGGGGGGCGGGGGGTTCTCTGGGAGCCGCTGCGGTGGGGGAAATGGCTTCAATCGCCACCAGCTCCCCTCGGGCAGGCAGGATACAGGGAGCTGGGGGCACTGCTGTGGGGAAGCTCGCAGCACCAGGGCACTGCTGTGGGGAATCTCGCAGCACCAGGAGCCCCGGCTGGGCACTGCTGTGGGGAAGCTCGCAGCGCCAGAGGCCCCGGCTGGGCACTGCTGTGGGGAAGCTCGCAGCACTAGGGCACTGCTGTGGGGAAGCTCGCAGCACCAGGAGCCCCGGCTGGGCACTGCTATGGGGAAGCTCAATACACTGAGATCCAAGACCAGCAGCAGGGATGTGGGGCTAGGGCCTTGGGGTGCAGCTCCCATGGGGGGGTTGGGGGGAGACTGTCCTTGCTCAGAGCCACCCAGACAGATGTGCCCCTAGGCCAGCTGGAGTAGGTCAGGGAGTGTGGGTTAGAGCGGAGGGGCTGGGAGCCAGGACTCCTGGGTTCTTTCCCCAGCTCCGGGAGGGGAGTGGGGGCTGGTGGGTTAGAGCGGAGGGGCTGGGAGCCAGGACTCCTGGGTTCTTTCCCCAGCTCCGGGAGGGGAGTGGGGGCTGGTGGGTTAGAGCATGGGGGGGCTGGGAGCCAGGATTCCTGGGTTCTCTCCCCGGCTCTGGGAGGGGAGTGGGGGCTGGTGGGTTAGAGCATGGGGGGCTGGGAGCCAGGATTCATGGGTTCTCTCCCCGGCTCTGGGAGGGGAGTGGGGGCTGGTGGGTTAGAGCAGGGGGACTGGGAGCCAGGACTCATGGGTTCTCTCTGGGGGTCTGGTCCATTCTCCCCAGGGGATCCGCCGCCCGCCTCTTTTCTAGCCCAGGCTCTACCAGGCCTGCACCCAACAGCTCTTTGGCAAATGTGCACAAGAAGTGGAGGGCAAAAGGTGAGGATGCAGCCACCTCTGGGGCGGGGCGCGAGGATTGTTTATACAGGGACCCCTCACTTGGCACTGAGATGCAGCCACCTCTGGGGCAGGGCGCAGGGGCCGTTTAGTAGCCAGCCCATGCAGCAGTTGGGGACAAGAAGTGAGGGGGACCCAGTCCCCTGCAGGACTCCAGTGGGGAGTGAGGGGGGCAGATGGAAAGACCCGGGGGGGGCAGGCCTGGGTGCCGGGTCAGCTCCTGACTCTGGGTCTCAGGAGCCTGGTTTGGGGGCTCCTACGACACCCCTGGGGGACGGTCAGTGGGTGAGAACCGGGAGCGAGTGTGTCAGGCTCTCATGGGGGAGGCACTCACACACAAGCCCCCAGCGACTCCAGAGGGGCTGGCACCAGGGGCCTCAAGCAGGGGCAGGGAGGGGATCCCCTGGGCGTGTCAAGGCATGTGCACATGTCTCCACAATGGGCATTCCTGGGGGGAGCCCCCTCCATGCAGCAGCCGCTGGGGCAAATGTCTCTGCGCCAGCCCAGACACAGCTGCCCCCTGCCCTGCCCCTCCCCCCATCTGGTGCCCCTTCAGCTAGAAAATGGGGTGTCAGTGTATCAAGATCCCCCCGAGAATGACCCATTGGCTTTGGAGCCTCGTGCAAATCCCTGTGTGAGCCCCAGGCTATGCCGAGGGCGAGGTTGCGTTGTGTGTGCACGTTGCATTAGAACATTTGCTAGGGGGAGTGTGCATTGCACTAGTGTGTGCGCAAAGGGTGAGGCTGTCTTGTGCACAGGAGTCATAGTAGCACGTTTGCAGCAGCCAGAGGTTGTGTGTGTTGCACTAGTATGTGTCCAGCAGGCTGTAGAGGTGTGCAATGCACTAGGGGGTGTGTGCAGCAGGCTGTGTGTGCGCACATTGCACTAGCATGTGCAGCAGGCCAGGCCTGTGTGCATTGCACCAGCAAGTGTGCAGCAGACTGAGGGTGTGCACATTGCACTAGTGGGTGTGCACATGTGGGTGTGTGCCGCACTAGCAGACGTGCAGCTGGCGGGGGAAGGGGGCAGCTATCAGTGAACAGGTGAGGTGGGGATACGGGTAAGTGTGTAAGAGCAGGCACAATGCTGGCACACAGGTGTGCACCACCACTAGCCGTGCAGGTGAGCATGTGGCTGGGTGGCGAGGGGGCACATGGAGCCACGCGAGGGGCACTGTAGAGCCTGCAGCCAGCCTGGCCCTGAACTAACGTGGGTGGAGCTCGCCCAGTGCCTGCCGTGGCTCCTCCCAGCCCCCCCTTGGCCAGCGGCTAAGCCGGGGAATCCCCCTGTGACGAAGTGGGGGGGGTCTTGTTTTCTGTGGGGTTTCAATGGTTTGCATGTGGAGGGAGTGGGACTCAGTTTCCCTGGGTGTTACTGGTTTAACGAGGGGAGGGGAGAGGGAGTTCGTTGGGACACAGGACCGGAGAGGGGACTTGGGACCCAGCCGATGGCCTGGAGGACGGAGACCCCAGCGACCGGTGACCTGGTGTCCCAAGGACCCAGCTCAGAAGTCGCAGCCGGTTCTGGCCAGTGGGAGGACAATGGGCTGCGGGGAGAGGACCCCGGTGACCTGACCAGCCGGTTCCAGCCCAAGGGGCCAGAGGACAGAAGAGGGGAGAGGAGGCCCAGGTGACCCTGTTTCCCTGGAGAGAAGACAATGGACAGAGGCGGGGCCTGGGGCCGGGGGTATCAGATGCCCAGCTGGGGAGCAGGGGGGCTCTGGGCTGGAGAGGGGGAGCAGGCAGAGCCCCCCTGGATGCAGGGAGACTGGGATGTGCTGTGCTGAGGGAGGCCAGGCCTGAGGCCCTGAGAGTTTCCTGTGCTGGGTTCAACTCTCAATAAACCCTCCTGTGTGATGCTGGCTGAGAGTCGCTCTGGGCTAGAGAACAGGGCCGGGGAGGGGCAGGGGGCATCGTCCCTTTGGGGGTGGAGGCCCCGGGGGCCCAGAGCGAGGGGACTCCCTGAGGGGGCCCACGGCAGAGACAGACGTGCTAAGGCTCAGAGAGGTGCGGCTCCAGGAAGTGGAGGGGCCTGACCCCGAGAGAGAGTGGACCCCCGAGATGGGCTGTCGCACTGAAAGGGGCACCCCCCACGGGGCCACGAGTGGGCCTGACCTGGGAGTCTGTGACACCCACACCGCCCATGGCCAACACCTCAGCCCCCGTCACAGTGTGGCCGGCCCTCCCCCACCAAGCCCTCGGCCCCCCCGGTTTGGTACCCACACGGGCAGAGAGAGCCTGGGGAACGCCCGAGGGGGCAAGCCAGGTGTTGCCGTGGGGGTGTCAGTGGGAAAGATGGTTAGTGACAGTGGGTGGCGGGGGTTGTATCTCCGAGGGTTGTGTCACCACGTGAGATGGTTAGTGAGAGCTGGGCGGCGGGGGTTGTCACCACGGGTGTGTTAGATGCAGTGTGATGCATCAGTGGATATTGCAGTGCATCAGGGTGTTGTCACTGCAGGTGTCGTTCACCTGCACATCTACCAATGTGATATATGCCATCATGTGCCAGCAATGCCCCTCTGCCATGTACATTGGCCAAACCGGACAGTCTCTACACAAAAGAATTAATGGACACAAATCTGACATCAGGAATCAAAATACTCAAAAACCAGTGGGAGATCACTTTAACCTGTCTGGTCATTCAGTGACAGACCTGCGGGTGGCTATATTACAACAGAAAAACTTCAAAAACAGACTCCAAAGAGAGACTGCTGAGCTAGAATTGATATGCAAACTAGACACAATCAACTCAGGATTGAATAAGGACTGGGAATGGCTGAGCCATTACAAACATTGACTCTATCTCCCCTTGTAAGTATTGAATCCCCTCTGATTAATGAGTGTTAGATGGGGAAACTTTATGACACACTCAATATAGAGTTGTTT